GTACAATGCTCAGCACTTTAGGAACCTCAACTTTAACAAGGGTTAATGGATGCTAGCAAACGCCCGGGAGAGCGAGCCGCATCTGGCAACTGGCGAGGAGTAAGGGCCTGGGACAGCGTACGATGTTCAGGACGACTGAATGGGATAAACAGTTGACTGAAAATTTTGGAACTTGCACCTGCTTGTCCTTCTGTAAATCGAACGAGCAACCAAGGCATTGTAGACAGTTTCTTTTGCAGAGGTTGAATTTGGATAATTATATAATGTGTTGCTTATATATTTTAATGGTTGACATTAATTGCCGTAATTGCTATCCCTGGGCGATATTGTTGGGAAATATTAACGCTCGAGCAGCAGTAGTAATCCTTGCTTCATCCATGAAGCCTTGAAAGGTGGTATGAGACAAGTTGGATGGGATGTAGAAGAAAGATCGAGGCTGACCCTAAATGCTCTCAGCTGAGAACAGGAAAATGGCCACGATTTGAAGTAGGTAAGAAGGTTAATTAGAGGCACGAGAACGGTTGATGGTCAGGAGTGATGAAAGGAAAAGAATCTTCCTTCTGGGATGGAAAACACAGGATTTTCTTCCTGAATTGCGAGCTGTGTTCTCTTCAGAACCTACGCCGAGGCATTCAAATGGAGATGTGAAAGCCCTGGGAGAGCTGGGTCTGGCATGCTCGTTCCTTATCTAATCTCATAAGGGCACAAAATGCAGCTACATTAAAAAGAACAGGAATTTCTTGTCTTAGTGTAATGAGAGGGGTGAAAATCTGTTTATTTTCCATTAAAGTTTATTACAAGGTGAGCTGAACACCCGAACGAGTAGAAATCATTCTGACTGGTCAAACATTTATTACGAGGTGAGCTGAACACCTGAACGAGTAGAAATCATTCTGACTGGTCAAACTGGGGCGTTGTGAAGCGGTTGTTATGAAACTTTTTTTTTTTTTAACTACGCAGTGGGTTTTATTTCCCCATGGACAAAAAAATAAACCTCAACTATTTCTGCTTCTCCCTTCCGTTCAGTAAAGAAGGGGAGTAGAAGGCGGTGTGTGGTAGGCAGCACTGCGTTACTGTACAAGACTCTGCTGCCATCGAGAGGTGTTGGGTGATATCAGACCGAGTGCCGAGCTGAAGAACTGCAAAAATGAAAAAAAAAACCCAGCTTGTTTTTAAAAATTGACATCTCTGAGGATGCCTAGCTAGCCGTCCGTGTGTTAAAGCACACTGAACGTCTTCTGGGCACGCGGATTTCTAGCTGTGTGTGTCTGAGTTCTTGGATGACGGGGGTGTTTCCCTTTTATTTTCTTGCTTTACAGCAAACGAGACCGTAAGTGCTTGTGTTTAGGTCAAATGCTAATTTATTTCAGTGTAATATGGGCACTTTGTGGGCCCTTGCAGATCATTACCTATGCAGTACCTCTAGGTATCTACTCCTATAAATAACTCAAAATTGCAGTTTTTATTTTAATCACATGATAATAACTGAAATGTCATAATTTGCTTTTACAGTCAGATCATTTGTTTCTTTAAAAAAAATGATTGGAAGAGGTGATAAGGAATTTGGAGGTGAGGATATTCAAGTTTGTAACTTCAGTTTAGAAAAATTGCTGTTCCTGGGAACTATCTATATTAAACAGTTGAAGGAGCTGATTTTTGTGCCACTTCGTGGAGAAATCATTAAACCGTGTTTATTCTGGCCAGAAAAATAGTTTTCAAATTCTGACCTTTGGCGGCATACTTTGAAATTTTAAAATGAGATGCACTTTCAGCTGCAGAAGCTAGGAAACAAGAAGGCGGTGCTCTTCAGCTTTTGGCCCCGCAGAAGGGATGAGCAGGGTGATAGGATGGGCTGATGACGTTTTGTCTGATTTTTTCCACACCGGTTTATATCAGCACCTTGAAGAGACGTGGAAAAAACCAGGTTGCTGCGATTTCTTTCCTTGCATTCAGTGTGCACAACCTGAGAGAGAAGACAGAAGCCGTGCTGGCGTGAGGCAAGCTGCTGGCTGGCAGCTCGGGGTGTCTGGAGACTCTTCGGAGTCGCGTGTGTTTGAGCTGGGGGGACACAACTAACCTCTGCCTCAGATCCCCGTCTTGTAAAGCCAGAGTCACTGTCCTTTCCTCACGGGGAGGAAATACCATGAGTATTTATGAGACGCTGCCACGCTACGGTGATGAATAACACGATGGGAGTTACCGCCACTAGGCAAGCAAGAAATCATCCCGTTAGAGCACGGCGGCCACCGCGGGTTCGCTTCCCCCCGTTCTGAAAGTGAGGCGCTGCAGTGCCCAGCACGGGCGGCTGAAGACCGGTGAGAAGAGCTCCCAGGCTGCCCTTGTCCCCGCTGGAGCCGCCTCTGCGGGGGCTGACCACCCAGCCTGCCCCCCAGCACGAGGCGGGAACCCCCGTACCGAGACCCTCCGTCGGGGATCGTCCGGCCGAGTCCTTTCAGCGACTCGCCGTTCGGTTTTTGGAGTATGGCTTTGACCAAGGTCAAGGGTGACAAAGGTTGTTCAGGGAGTTCAGGGCAGTTTTGTGGAAAGTCTTCGCTGGGATTTTCCAATGTCTTTCTCCAGCCCTGCTTGGGGGGCAGCCAAACCGGCACTGCTCTTGGGAATGCCCGGTGCGTGCAGGTCTTGGGGTGTTAAAAACCCCAAGGTTTTTAAAAGGCAGCGAGCTGGATTGCGTGAGGGGGGTAAAATAACAGCAGCCCTGGTTTTCCGAGAGCAAACCGAAGCGGAGGAAGTCTTGTGCGATTTACCCGGAGCCCCAAACATCCGATAAACACCTAACGCTGCGAGCGCCGGCGCAGCCGGTTGGACGTGCGAGCCCAAACGCTGACCTGCGCTGGCACCTGAAGCGTTGCCCGTTTGTTTGAGTTCCGAAATGGTTTGCCTTCTTTCTCCTTTAAAATCAGATCTGTGTTTCCATTTCCTTTCTTTAAATATGGCATTCACTTACAAACATTCTTATGGATTTTTAAATTGCTCAGTGTTTTGGTGCGTTAATAACAATGAGTTCGTTTTGTTGTCGTCTTTTAAATTTTAATATGGTTTTCCCGTAGTGAAAAGGGAAGGAACACTTCCCGTGGAGTCACGGCACCATGAACTGTAAGAACATGATGCTGAGGGAGAGCAGTTCGTTTGTGCTAGCAGAGATGAGTTGGGGCGAGGTTTTAAGTAGTGTTTCAGAGGAGGGCTGTGGTATAGCAGACTTGCGAATGCACATTATCACCTGCAATTGGGATTTTAGCCTTTTAAGAAGAAAATATGTGTGATGGCGTGTGGGAACGCTGAGTATTTCTAATAAATAGACCAAAACGTTTATTCTATAGGAATCTGTAGTTCGCCGTGAGGACCTTTCCAGGATTTTTTTATTATTTTGAGACTTTGCGAGATGAGTAGACAAGTAAAAGAAACATGTTTTTGTTTCGTTTTGAACGCTTGCTTACTTAATACGTTTTGGTTTAAGTGCAAAACTGAAGTCAGCGTATGTGCCAAGTAATTTATCAGTCTAACTTCTGATAGGAACGAGAATAGGAGTTTTATATGTACCAGGATTCTGGTTTGGTAAAAACAGTTAAATTAAATTATGCCAATTTGAAAGTCAAAACCAGTGGAGTTACACAAGAGCGTGCTTTTTCTGGTCAAAATAGGAAACATTTGGGATATTTTGGGGGTTATGTAAAGACTTTAATTTGTAACCACACTGTGTATGCTCAGTCTTAAGTGGTAGACAGGAATAGTTGTTCGTGTGATTTGCCATTTCTTCAGCACATTATTTAAACCATATTACTGCGCGTATTTTTTATTGTGAATGATAGTTAATCTGACCGATGATTAATTCTTTTAACATTTGGATAATTTAAAAAAGATGTGCACGTAGTGTTTACATACTAGACACGGCTAGATGCAAGTGCTTTTAAAGGCAATTTATTTCATTTCAGTCATTACCTTCCAGGAAAAAAGTAGCCGTTTTGTTGTGGGGAGGGTGAGGGTTGCCCTTCGGTTCGTGTGATTTCAGAACCTAGAGGAGGGCCCAGCTGTTGGGCCACGTAATTAAGGAATTAACAGCAGTTAGAGTGACACTCGGTTGAATTTGGGCCGGAGGGAGTTGGAACGAGTATTTTCTGAATACACGTAGGCAACCTTCATGTTCCCTTTTCTCTCGTTTCCAATTCTTAACTGGGGGTCTGCCAGCCTAGCAGAAAGGTTGGGCCCTGCGTTACATGCTGTGAATGAGATGAGCTTTACAGCACTAGCGGGGCCTCTGAACTGCTTGCCACCACTGGGTTTTAAATCTAACTTTCAAACCCAGTCGAGTGATGTCTTCCTGGCTAACGGAGGCTGACACGTTAAAAACGTTTAGCAGTTCCTGCGTAACCGAACCCTTCGGGCTCTAGACCTTCTTGTCTTTGTGACCTGGTGCACAAGTGGCGTCGTGGAGCTCAGGCTCTTGAATCCAACAGCGTTTGATGGCCCTGAAACGGGTGGTTCGGTGGGGTTATTAAAAAAGCACCATATCTCTGCAGCTCTGGTCTTCGGCATCCACGTGTTCTTTGTTTTGTGAACTCATGCCAAGGTTGAAAAAGCTTCTGCCAGCCTTCTGCTCTTCAGTAGCACGTTTTCACTTTCTAAGTGCTGGCATGCCCATCTCCGTTTCTTTACTTGGCCACTAATTCCTCCTTTCACGTCGTTACTTGCTTTACGATGGTCTCGGCTTGTCCGTGGTGCATAAGTCGGCGTTGGTGACCGTGCT